AATGAAATTCATTTCGAAAAAAAAAACGATGGACAACTTTGATAGTGTCGCAAACGTCAACAACCGTACTTGGGTGCGAGCGGCTTTGGTCCAACATAATTTCCAGGTTTAGGGCTTAATCGTCGTGCTATCGCACCCATTTATGTTCGGAATTATTAGGTTGGTCCATGGTCCATATAACTTCGTTTGTGAAATGGACTCGTCCCGAAAACCGAGTCATTTTTGCTCGAAAGTGTAGCCACGTCGACTGGAGCAAGACAACCTCTTTTGTCTGTTATGCCTCGATTACTGCCTTGCGTTAAATTGTCAATGTCGTTTTCGCTTCATAGGGATCTGATGAAAGAAGAAACCCTTTTTGAGGAAGAAAGAGCTCGAAAGAAAATAAACAGAAAGCAACACATACAAAAGAAGATTCTCGCTCCAGTCGACGTAGCTACACTTTCGAGCAAAAAATGACTCGGTTTTCAGGACGATTTCTTTTCACAAACGAAGTTTCTTTGCTTCTTCACTGAAGAATGACTTCGGAGATCTTCAACACATTCCAAACAATATCCATTAAAAGATTAAATTTAAAATAAGACGGAAATTCTGGGCACTGTTCGATGAAATTGAAGTATCCCCAAATGGCGAGTTTAACTTGGCCAAAAAGAAATGACGAACATCCAGAGCTTTTCGTTCCATTCACGTTCCATATCCTACACGATTTTATAGAAATTGTTAACCGTATTGGGTGAGCTTGGACTGGGCATTCTCGCGATATGGTATGCAGGATGATGTCATGTGTTCTTTTTGCTTACAATTTACGGCGTTTTTTCAAAGTGTAACTGCCCTTCTTTTCTCGTGGGAGCATTAATGTGAAAGTCTAATGACCGTGAATCAGTTCTCTGAAGCAGAAATAAATTTTAACGACGAAACACGGGGTGGCTGTATCATTTCTGAACATAGGGAACTTCTCTTGAAAAATGACCACAAAATTTTTTGGCGTTTCAAGATGGATTTTCGTGTTGATATCCGAACTCACCATAAAAATTTTCACATTTTCCATCTGGACAGATAAACCTTGAATTTTCGAACAAATTGTAGGTGGGTGTACCATTATTAAACGCAGTGTACAGTGCAAAAACAAACAATTGCAGTACGCTCGAAGATTGTTTCGTGAGCCATGAGCTCTCCGTACACGAGAAGCAAACTGATCTCGGGGTTCGAAACTTTTCGTTGTTGAGTTCTATTATAGTAGTGATTGAACACCTTCAAAGTGAAATTACATCATTACCTTCACAAACTCTTCCTTCCACTTTGGCTACTCGAAGTGCAGAAAACAGTCCGCTCATCTCATTTGCGGTGAAACACAGTTTATGATTGCCGGAAATCTGCACTGTGACGATAGAAACATCCTAAACATAAGTTAAAAGTTACAATATCCACATTTCTGTTCGTGTTTCTTCACACACAAAGATATTCAGCATTCGATATTTAGCATATTGGGCACGTTATTCGAGTTCAGAGTGGCATGACTCGCGGAGCAGTGGCCTTAAATTCCTGTGTGTACAGTACAAAGGTCAAATTTTCCACCAATCCACATTTGTGGAGTTCCCAAACAAGGGTCTGTCTATAACGAAGAAGGGCAGGGGCCATAGATGAAGGACACCATGCGAAAATGCCGTGGTGTTTTTTCTATGGACGTGCAAGGGAAAGGAAGAAAACCGCTGCGGGAACGGCAGTATGCAACAAGCCCCGAAGGTCTTCGGGGATATATTCCCGAATGCTTAGTCGTGCAAGCAATCCCGAGGGCCGTCGGTGATATCCGAAGGACCTCTGGACTTAAAGATACGCGCCCCGGTATGGGTGAAAAGAATGTCGAATTCAACGTTTCCTTTTGTGTGTTGTTTTTGCGGGATCTTGTCTGGCAAGCGATATGACTCGGGAACGAGTATAAACAACACCTTCAGCTAAATGTCAGTCATCAAGGTATCGGTTGAATGCGGCCAAACGTCATGCACCAGCATTCTGTACTGGAAGTTTCCGCTTTGCCAGCTATTCACGCATTCCCTATAGGCGCAAAGTATGAAAACAATCTCCGCAAGTTGTACTATGCTTGCCCTTTGTTTCCCAAACATGAGCGAAGACACGGCAACTCGCTGTTTTGAGAGCCATGATCAGTCTACTCGCCTGGTGCGGTCTAAGTCTAACAGAAAGGATTGATCTAAAAAAGGTGAAGTGTTTCTTCAGGTTAACTTATTGGGTTCCAGATGTTCTACCATAAAATCCCCAAAGTGACATACCGAGATCATGCTCCACTTCAAGCGCTCCAGCTTGTCGTTATTAGCAACTCGAACAAATTTTTCACTCAGAACCTCTGAAATGAAAATTGTATGGTTGCATGTTTCCATTTTATTGCAAACATACGGAGAAATATTGCATCAAATAGCAGCAAATATCATCGGGAACATCAAACCACACGTAAAATCACAAGATTGACAGTAACCTGTCTCATTCCGACGTTCCGGTGCTTTCACCTTCTTTAGGGTCTGGAAAAGACGAAATCCATTTAGGAAACCACTCATCCAAACACTATTTCAACCTGCATTCAACAGGGTGCAAACTACTAGACTGATCATGGAGGAAAATGAGAACGATTCTAAGAGATGTCGACCGGAGAGGTGGAAGCACCGGAAGTCGGCCTAATAACGGTTGCCTTTGGTTCTTGTATGTAGGTTGAAATAGTGTTTGGGCGGGTAGTTTCCTGAGTGGCTTCCGTCTTTTCCGAGCGAAGAAGGTGAAAGCACCGAAACGTCGGCTCAACAAAGGTTACTGTCAATCTTGGGTTGGAAGCTAAGCAACTACACACTCATCTTCTGGACTACGCCAAAATTTATACAAAGTCGAACTTGGACAACGCGTAAAATCATTTTTACTTCAAAGGCCGTTTCGAAATACTGGGCTGCGACCAAAGATATGGAATTGGATCTAATATTCGTACTTTTTTGTTGAGCGCACCAGCTCATGATGAAACTATTAACAAGAAAGGAACCTATAGTATTGATGGGACTTCGACACTTCACACTACCTGTATTTACATTTGCTTCAAATTTTGAAGCTCTCATGGCTGCTCAGAGTTGGAATCCAGGCGGCACAAAATTAAGAGAATAAGAAAAAACCTGCCAAAACGAGGGTGTTTCAGAACCCGTCGTTTCTATTGAACCTTACTGCAATCTACCCCATCTCCTCCACTCATCGAACCATCTTCATTTATTGTAAAAATTGAGGGTAGTGAGGATTCTGGGAACGGGCTCGATACCTTTTTCCATTCTACATCTGGCGATTTCTTGCGAAATAGAATCAAAGTCGTAATAATGACGAAGAGAACATCACTGGTTAGTTGTATGCATTGATTTGCTTTTACATTTTGCTTTAAAGGAGGAATTCACAATAGAACGAAGGTCAAAGATAGATGCGAGACAGGCGGACCTCCTAGGGTGCTGACGGATGCGCAGTTGGCAGCGAAAGATTTGGCCTGGGCGATCTACAATGGCTTACTCTTGGCGCGGCTGGCGGGGTACGTCCGCCTCAATGCGCAAATCAGTAGGGCAAGGAAGGGGTCCCGTTTCCCGGGTTTTGGGCCGTTTCAAGTTTATTATCCCTGCTCCACTGACCACCTCTACCTTATTTCCAATGAACTAAGTTTTCATCGTGAATTCTGCCTTTAAACGTTTTTTCCCCGAATGCAAGCGCTACGACATTATGTTCCAACCGGTGATGGTACACACGCATAAGTGCCATAGAAATTTATGAGTTCATGGTTTTTAAATCGAAAATTCACCGTCGTCAAGGTAGTAGTACGAAATGCTACGAACACTGCCAAGAAAGCCGAGATCAACGAAGTCGGTGTCCATCACAATCACTTGACCAACAATTCCAGTTGCAGTGCCAAACTTCCTCAGTAGTAGATCATAATTTGGAGTATCTTTTGACAAAAGTATGAAATCACCGTAGATGTGCTCGCAGTTATCTTCCAGAGCAGACACAATGACTTGTGTGAGCGGTTCGTCAAGTTCACATCCTGAATAAGCACCATGTATGGGCATAAGTCAGATGGAGATCGAAGATCATAGCTTGAGCGCATATCAATAGGACCGCCGTCACACTCGGCGACCAAGCGATGGAGCGACGCGATCGCTCCATCGCTGGTGCGTCGCCGTGTGTGGCGGCGGTCTTACTGATGCACAGGGGAGCGGCAAAAATTTTGTTCATGTCACACCCATGTATTAGTTTGGAAAGAAAGTTCTGCAACACATCCTAAAAATTTTTTTTTTTTCTGAAAAATTCATAGTAAATTTATGACTACCAAATGGTAGAGCATTCTCAAGGCTTCAATCCACGAGGTGGATATAAGTGCTGCAGTAAGTAGTTATCCAAGAAAATTCGAAAAACCTCGACCACTAGTAAATCCACACTCCGAGTCACTGTCTAGTACAAATGTCTACATAACTATGGACGAGGACTACACCTCTCGCCAACAAGCTTCACAGTGGCATGTGTTCACCGCTATACGAAGTTATTACGTGATATTTTTATAAGGAGCCAGCAGCGTCCCTACACTCCATTACAGGTAGGGCTCTTACAGAGGCTCCTACTACATATCCTTCGTTATGGGCACCATTGTGTAGGAGGCCTAGGCTGTGGAATACCAGAAGCTGGCCGAGGCAGCTCGTCAAGAGCCCTCGTACCGCGACAATATTCATTTCTTTCATGACATTGCGAATCACCATGATCCGAAATGAGCCCGGTAAGAAATTCTGGAGTTGCGGCAAGATTTCTTACCTCTCTTAGCGTAATTCCCTGGTCGAGCTATAAATGCTGCCACCTATCCTGGACCTTTAATCATCATCTTGATGACGAAATAATTAGACGATCAACTCCAACTCGAAAGTGAGGTCGCCTCCTTTCTCGACCCGCACTCCGCTGGGTTTTGGAAAAGGAGCATCAAGAAATTTTCTGAGCGTTGAAGACAAGTGGTGGACACTCATGGTAGATATATGACCGGTCAGGAGTTGTAAACAAAAAAGATAAAATTAAAATCAAAAATTGAAAAAGTGTCGCAGGACTTTCTTGCCAACCTAATATTTTTGCGCCACAAAGGTTGACGACTTGAAAGTAAATTTTACACCGTATTTTTCCCCTAATGTTCCTTTAATGGACAGCGCAAGCCCTCTCGTACTGCCTTCACCGTCTTCAGGATATGCCGTCGTCGTCGAGTTCACGGGAACCTCCCGTAGTTGCTCCAACCTCAAGTTCTTAGAAATTTCTTAAAGGAAGCGATTACGATAAGGAATTTTCGCATCGGGGGAGAACCTGCGCCACACGGAGCAATTACTTGGCTGCCAAGGAAGCGATGTGTGGCCTCCCACGGCGAAAGGTGCTGTGGTTGCTGAGCAGGACCCGCGTGACGCTCCGCCCCAGTGACGTGACGCCCACTAGTTTTGTTGATGATCTGGATGGACTGTTTGCTGTTGGCTTTTCATTTTGGATGATCATTTCCCTTCTAGCGGCTGTATCTTCCAACTTGCCCACGTATTGCCTTATCAATCAAAACACTATGCTTGTTGGCATGATGGCGGCTATCGGGGTTAACACGTCCGAACAACGTCGTTCTTTACCGTCGCTCATCCATGGTCGAAAATGAAAGGGCAATCAAAGGGGTACTATTTTGCTTATTTTTGACGGATTTCTTTGCTTTTTTCGCCATTGGCGTACTATTGAGACCCCACGTCCCCTCTAAACCCCTTTGAGATCTATCGTAATCGCTTCCTTTAAATCGATTCACCGTTGTGTATGTAGCCTTGAGATACTTACTCCAACTTACTCCAACTATGCAAACTCCCTCCGGATTGAGTTTCAGGAAACATCGTAATGCCACACGATCCATCGAGGACCCCAATGAGCTCCACCTGTGCCCATGTTTTCATGGCAAATTTGTTCGATGTCGCCCACATGGAAGGCCACTTTGACGTTTTTTTATCAAATTAGAAGTGCTTTTTAATTTATGTTGGGAGTATTC